GTCTTCACGTCTCTGTCTCTATGTCTCTGTCTCCAAGTCTCTGTCTTCACGTCTCTGTCTCCGCGTCTCTGTCTCCGCGTCTCTGTGTCCGCGTCTCTGTGTCCACGTTTCTGTCACCACGTCTCTGTCTCTACGTCTCTGTCTCCACGTCTCTGTGTCCACGTTTCTGTCACCACGTCTTTGTCTCCACGTCTCTGTCTCTATGTCTCTGTCTTCACGTCTCTGTCTCCGCATCTCTGTGTCCATGTCTCTGTCTCCGCGTCTCTGTCTCCATGTCTGTCTTCATGTCTCTGTCTCCACGTCTCTGTCTCCACGTCTCTGTCTCCACGTATCTGTCTCCACGTTTCTGTCTCCACGTCTGTCTTCACGTCTCTGTCCACACATCTCTGTCTCCATGTCTGTCTTCATGTCTCTGTCTCCACGTCTCTGTCTCCACGTCTCTGTCTCCGTGTCTCTGTCTCCACGTTTCTGTCACCTCGTCTCTGTGTCCACGTCTCCGTCTTCGTGTCTCTGTCTTCAAGTATCTGTCTCCACGTCTCTGTCTCCACGTCTCTGTCTCCACATCTGTCTCCACGTCTCTGTCTCCACATCTGTCTTCACGTCTCTGTCTCCGCGTCTCTGTCTCCGCGTCTCTGTGTCCGCGTCTCTGTGTCCACGTTTCTGTCACCACGTCTCTGTCTCTACGTCTCTGTCTCCACGTCTCTGTGTCCACGTTTCTGTCACCACGTCTTTGTCTCCACGTCTCTGTCTCTATGTCTCTGTCTTCACGTCTCTGTCTCCACGTCTGTTTCCACGTCTCTGTCTGCACGTGTCTGTGTCCAGGTCTCTGTCTCCGCGTCTCTGTCTCTATGTCTCTGTCTCCACGTCTCTGTCTCCACGTCTCCGTCTCCACGTCTCTGTCTCTATGTCTCTGTCTCTATGTCTCTGTCTCCACGTCTCTGTGTCCATGTCTCTGTCTCCGCGTCTCTGTTTTCAAGTCTCTAATCTCCGCGTCTCTGTCTCCACGTCTCTGTCTCCACGTCTCTGTGTCCACGTTTCTGTCACCACGTCTTTGTCTCTACGTCTCTGTCTCTATGTCTCTGTCTTCACGTCTCTGTCTCCACGTCTGTTTCCACGTCTCTGTCTCCACGTGTCTGTGTCCAGGTCTCTGTCTCCGCGTCTCTGTCTCTATGTCTCTGTCTCCACGTCTCTGTCTCCACGTCTCTGTCTCCACGTCTCCGTCTCCACGTCTCTGTCTCTATGTCTCTGTCTCCACGTCTCTGTGTCCACGTCTCTGTCTTCACGTCTCTGTCTCCGCATCTCTGTGTCCATGTCTCTGTCTCCGCGTCTCTGTCTCCATGTCTGTCTTCATGTCTCTGTCTCCACGTCTCTGTCTCCACGTCTCTGTCTCCACGTATCTGTCTCCACGTTTCTGTCTCCACGTCTGTCTTCACGTCTCTGTCCACACGTCTCTGTCTCCATGTCTGTCTTCATGTCTCTGTCTCCACGTCTCTGTCTCAACGTCTCTGTCTCCGTGTCTCTGTCTCCACGTTTCTGTCACCTCGTCTCTGTGTCCACGTCTCCGTCTTCGTGTCTCTGTCTTCAAGTATCTGTCTCCACGTCTCTGTCTCCACGTCTCTGTCTCCACATCTGTCTCCACGTCTCTGTCTCCACGTCTGTCTTCACGTCTCTGTCTTCACGTATTTGTCTCCGGTTCTCTGTGTCCACGTCTCTGTCTCCCCGTCTGTCTCCACGTCTCTGTGTCCACGTCTCCGTCTCCACGTCTCTGTCTCCACGTCTCTGTCTCCACGTCTCTGTCTCTATGTCTCTGTCACCTCGTCTCTGTCACCTCGTCTCTGTCACCACGTCTCTGTCTCCACGTCTCTGTCTCCGCGTCTCTGTCTCCGCGACTCTGTCTTCTCATCTCTGTCTCCACGTCTCTGTCTCCGCGTCTCTGTCTCCACGTCTCTGTCTCCACGTCTCTGTCTCCACGTCTCCCTCTCCACGTCTCTGTCTCTATGTCTCTGTCTCCACGTCTCTGTGTCCACGTCTCTGTCTTCACGTCTCTGTCTCCGCGTCTCTGTGTCCATGTCTCTGTCTCCGCGTCTCTGTCTTCAAGTCTCTATCTCCGCGTCTCTGTCTCCACGTCTCTGTCTCCACGTATCTGTCTCCGCGTCTGTCTTCACGTCTCTGTCCACACGTCTCTGTCTCCATGTCTGTCTTCATGTCTCTGTCTCCACGTCTCTGTCTCCACGTCTCTGTCTTCAAGTCTCTATCTTCACGTCTCTGTCTTCAAGTCTCTATCTTCACGTATCTGTCTCCGCGTCTCTGTCTCCGCGTCTCTGTCTCCACGTCTCTGTCTCCACATCTGTCTCCACGTCTGTCTTCACGTATCTGTCTTCACGTATCTGTCTCCGCTTCTCTGTGTCCACGTCTCTGTCTCCCCGTCTGTCTCCACGTCTCTGTCTCCACGTCTCTGTGTCCACGTCTCTGTCTCCACGTCTCCGTCTCCGTCTCCGCGTCTCTGTCTCCACGTCTCTGTCTCCACGTCTCTGTCTCTATGTCTCTGTCTCCACGTCTCTGTCTCCACGTCTCTGTCTCCACGTCTCCATCTCCACGTCTCTGTCTCTATGTCTCTGTCTCCACGTCTCTATGTCCACGTCTCTGTCTTCACGTCTCTGTCTCCGCGTCTCTGTGTCCATGTCTCTGTCTCCGCGTCTCTGTCTTCAAGTCTCTATCTCCGCGTCTCTGTCTCCACGTCTCTGTCTCCACGTATCTGTCTCCACGTCTGTCTTCACGTCTCTGTCCACACGTCTCTGTCTCCATGTCTGTCTTCATGTCTCTGTCTCCACGTCTCTGTCTCCACGTCTCTGTCTTCAAGTCTCTATCTTCACGTCTCTGTCTTCAAGTCTCTATCTTCACGTATCTGTCTCCGCGTCTCTGTCTCCGCGTCTCTGTCTCCACGTCTCTGTCTCCACATCTGTCTCCACGTCTGTCTTCACGTCTCTGTCTTCACGTATCTGTCTCCGCTTCTCTGTGTCCACGTCTCTGTCTCCCCGTCTGTCTCCACGTCTCTGTCTCCACGTCTCTGTGTCCACGTCTCTGTCTCCACGTCTCCGTCTCCGCGTCTCTGTCTCCACGTCTCTGTCTCCACGTCTCTGCCTCTATGTCTCTGTCACCTCGTCTCTGTCACCTCGTCTCTGTCACCACGTCTCTGTCTCCACGTCTCTGTCTCCGCGTCTCTGTCTCCGCGTCTCTGTCTTCTCATCTCTGTCTCCACGTCTCTGTCTCCACGTCTCTGTCTCCGCGTCTCTGTCTCCGCGTCTCTGTCTTCTCGTCTCTGTCTCCAAGTCTCTGTATCCACGTCTCTGTGTCCACGTCTCTGTGTCCACGTCTGTGTCTCCGTGTCTCTGTCTCCACGTCTCTGTCTCCGTGTCTCTGTCTCCACGTCTCCGTCTCCGCATCTGTCTCCACGTCTCCGTCTCCGCGTCTCTGTCTCCACGTCTCTGTGTCCACCTCTGTGTCCACGTCTCTGTCACTATGTCTCTGTCTCGACGTCTCTGTCTCCACGTCTCTGTGTGCGTCTCTCTGTGGGTTAGAATCCCGCTCATGGTCAACACCGGTGACGATCGTCTGAACCGGTCCCTGGGCTTCCCCCCTAGGTCGACTCAGCCTCAAATGAGCACCCGGTGCGGGGTGTAGTCAAACATCGCCACTGGGGGAGACAAAGGCGGCCGGGCGTGGCGTTGGCCACCCTCCCCCCTCGTGTGCCACAGTGCCGGCCTTCACAGGTGCTGCTGCTACCCGCTGACAGCACTTGCCCCTGCAGTCTGTTGAAGCTACACGGGGAGGGATCTTCGTCTCCGTTTCTGTTGCTGTGCCTTGTATATTTGCGCGTGGTCACTCGTGCATTTTTCTTTTTACATATTTAAATAGCCGAAAATATTTATATTTAAATAGCCTCCGGGCAGGTATTCGCAGTAATCTGCTGTTCCAAACTCCTCTGGTCTTTGAAAGAAACAAAAACAAGTATTAGGAAGTCGCTCCGCTACGCTCAATGGGTACAATCGCGAAAAACTGCGGATAATAGGAAGAAATAGGGCCACATATAATAGGAGTTTTCGATAATAGGGCTACGGAAAAGAGGAGTTTTGTACTGTATATTTGCATCACCTATAACTAGATCAACCGCAATAAGCCCGAATTTATCGGATCTCAGAAAGCTAAGCAGGTTTGCAACTGGAAGGTGCTTGCTTGGGACACCACCACAGCTGGTTATAGGTTCTAGGCTATTGTTGTACTGTAGTCATATGCTCCAACATCGATGCATTCCACCTGAAACCTGTACTGATCAGTGTGAAGTATGGTCTAACCACCCCCCCCCCCCCCCCACAAGTCCCACGATGTCAGCCCTCATCCAGCAGTGGATTCACAAAGGGCTGCACATGTACATAGCTGCACAATTTTTGTTTGCGTACAGCGCTTTTATAGTTTTTTTTTCACGCGAATTTTGTTTGCCGTGAATTTTATTGTGCCTTAGAAAAGATCATCCACTCTTCGAAAGCCTCTAAGGTTTCTCGAGGGAAAAATAAAACACTCTGCTCATTTAACGCCCACCTTGCTCCGAATAAAGAATCCACATCAACTCCTTAATCGTGGAAAGTTGTCAAACGAACCTTAAATAAAGTTTATATATGCCTCTAGATGGTGCTTCTTAAAGTCCTCAAAGTAACTCGACAATTGACCAAGTATTACACATCGTCAACTGACACAGAATGGCGATTTAAAGCTTTCGTGACTGCAAGGATTCATCTTCTTTGGTTCTTTCGGTAAAGTCACGTAGAATGAGAATAAAATAATAAATTGATAAAATAAAATAACGCAAAAAATTCTCACGACGTTTCGGCCACAACACAAGGCTGCTTGTGTTGTGGCTGAAACGTCGTAAGAATTTTATTGCGTTATTTTATTTTATAAATGTATTATTTTATTCTCATTCTACGTGACTTTACCGAAAGAACCAAAGATGACACAGAATGCTTCGTACAAAACGTGGAATCACTCGCAAATACGCAAAATGTTCTTGTCATAGAAATGTGCTAGATCGGGCTCAGCGGCCAGCAACCTGCGGCTCCAGGGTTGTATGCGGCTCTTCAAGGACTGCTTCACGACGTTGTTTATTCAGGACCACCGTCTCTCGTACTCACACGCATTGTGGTTCCTGAAATGTGAAGTCTTTTTTTAAACCGAATTTGCAACAACAAAAAAAACGTCTCATCTTGTTATTTTAGTCGAGCCTACACACTCACCGAGGTGGAAACACCGCCCACCTGAAACTGGAAAACCAGTCTTCACCCTACGTGTGCCGTATTATTAAAACTTCGCAACGAACAAAGAAACCACGCCAACGTATGACACGTACCCTCACTTCCCCTTGCGTGACCCCTCCTGCCACGGGCATCCAGCCAGAAGGTCGGACTCCGAGAGCGCCTCTCCAGCCCCGTCACGCAGCTCATGCGCAGTCGCCCGGGGGGGTCATATGGCCCCCCGCGCCGCACTCTCAGCGCCGACTCCTCCGTGCAGGGACTGGGGGGCCCTCCCATCCCGCCCCACGGCACGCCGGGGCACGGCGACGTGGTCAACAACAATCCCCTCCGCGCCACCACCAAGGGCCGCAGCCACAGCTTGGGGCTGGGCGAGCGAGCGAGGAGGCGGACGAGCCTGCGGCTGGGACGCGCGGCCGGGGCACGCTCCACGCATGGTGAGGGCTGGGTGGGTGGCCTTGCTCACCCTCTTTGACTGCTGACCGGAGCATGCTGCCACACAAAGACAAAGACCTCCCCCCCCCCCCCCCCCCCGTATAGCGTTAACATGCTGTTGGGGCAAGTGCTGTTAGTGAGGACCTGATGACTCGGGCATGGCACACAGAAGCTGTTTGTTTGGGCTGTGTGATGGCTCGGCATGCAGCTACATGACCCAGCCAAAGCAGCCCTTGCCTGCGAGAGGAGGTCATTGATGGGAATGTGCCCAGATCTTTAAAGGATTTGGAAGCCTCTTGCACAATTCAGCCTGGTTAAACCCAGGATGGAACATATCCAGGCCAGCCGAAATGTTTAAAGCCGGTGCAGGCATTACTTCAGAGAGGTCCATGTTTTGCAAGCACCCTCCCTAACATACATCTTTGTAAACACATCCACAAACCACTCAGGAAATGTAAAATTTTCCAGTTTAGCTTTACAGACTGTTACCGATTGCTGGTAGTGAGCACATGGATGTCAGTGAATTGAACGTGGGTTACTCAGGTTGTAGCACATTGCATTGACCTGAGCATTAATCGCTTCGTGGTTTGAATGGGCCCGCCCACCACCTCTCGAAAGCTCAGTGTCTTCACACCTTTGGCTTGTGGAATCTGCTGCAGTCGCACTTCCTTCACACTGATAGCTACAGTACTGCTTCACATCACCGACACGCACACAGCAACAGCAACAACCGCGATTCGCCACTAAGTGACGGTCACGTCACCACGACGCTTGTACCAAGCTATATGCACTTTAAGGCCACGTGAAGTGTCGAACGCCTGCTGGCAGGAGATCAGGGGACATGGGTTGACTGACTGAGATGACTCGCCGATGCAGGATGCGGGTTCAGTCTCCTGGCTCCGACAAATGGGGTTTGGCCAGGAGACAACATATATGCTTCCGGCATACGCTTACATTTTTTCCACATAGTTAAGTGATAATTACATTTAAGGTTGAGGGGTTACCAGCCCCTTGCACCCATCCACAGCCCCCATTGGCCACACATATACGCACGCAAATGCACACCTTACACCTCATTAAGGCCTACGTGGTCCAAACTCACCTCGTTCCCGACTTGCCGCATGTTTTTGTGTGAATTTTGTGCTGCCCCATCTATTCAGAGACTGGAGTGTTTCTGGAAGGCGGCTCTGAGGAATCGGGCTGCTTCTTGGATGAGGCCCCTCAAGACTTCGAGCCCTCGGTGAAGGCCGTCATTCGTGCCATCAGGTGCGTGCAATGAAGGGTTTGCACGCGCATTGTTACACGGTTACAACATAATACGTGTGGGAAACCTTTTCCTGACCAAAGACTGAAATAGGGCTATAAAATTACCTTTTGGTGGAACACGCATTAAATAGGTTACTTCTCTCACTTCAAGAAAGAGACGATTACAGACTCTGAGAAACGTTTGGGGGTTTTTCCAGTTTGACCCAGCAGCATCAACAGGAACCATCTCAAATGTTTCTATTCATTACTCGTATCATGTTCTCACAGCAGCGTTACCGGTCCCCACCCATGCCCCAAGGCATGAGAATTGATACTTTTCATAAAGCGAACATTTTTATGCACCATAATCTCTCCAACTGATCTCATACCTCTTACCCGATCGAGCCCCTTTATGGAGGTCGCTGGGTTCACGAACCTCTGGCATCAGCAGCAGTCCTCCACTGTTGGCGATCATAAACCACCTCTTGCTGAGGTTTCCATAGTCATTCTTCTCTATTCTAGTGCCTCCTCCTACCCTCTGTCACTACGTATTTTTCTCGGTCGTCCTCTGCTTCTTACTCTTTCTATGAGCTTTGCCATTGCCTTTGCTGGATTGCCATTTTGTGGCATTCTTCTGACAAGACGATAGCAGTCTGAATTCCTCAATTATTTCTATTATTGTTCAGTCCATCTTAAAAGTTAATTCTCATTTCTTAATTTATTATTTCATATAGCCATGTTCTTCGGATTATCTTACCCCACCGCTAGTTAATCTCCAGCGAACCGAAGGCCACACTTCACTTACGACCCATCCTCCAACTTAAACCTAAAAACTTGCAAAAAAGGAAGCCCAAAAAATAATTACTTTTTAAAAAATAATTTTGTTATCGTTTCGATAACGTATTGACATTCATTGTTTAGCATTTTTTTAATTTTTGATGCATGTAGGCCAGGAGTGGGGAACCTTTTTTCTGCCAAGGGCCATTTGGATATTTATAACATCATTCGCGGGCTATACAAAATTATCAACTTAAATTAGCCTGTTATATTTGGTCAAACATTTAATTAACTCACCCCTAATGCAATGGCTAGAACTGCTTCTCTTTGGTGAGGCGTGTGATGATGTTAGCTAGTATTGATGATGTTGCTACTCGCAACTGCTTTTCCAGGTTTTCTCCTAGATTTATTAAATTTCGAGTCCCGCCTGCGGTTGCCTTGGCAGGGCCACACCAAATGATTTCGCGGGCCTTATATGGCCCGCGGGCCGGACGTTCCCCACCCCTGATGTAGGCCAACATGGAATCGGAGCAAGCATCCCTCATTATGGTGAAACGATTAATCCGTATCCCTTAACCATTTACAAGCAGCATCCCGTGCCGCAGTGCAGTTCTCAATATGTTGCCCATGTGGGCCATCCTTCACAGGGCTGAACAGATGCAAATTTGAGGGTGCTAGATTTGGTCTCTATGATGAATGGGGCAGCACAGTCCAGCCAAACTGTGCAATTGGCCTCTCATGTTCTCAGGCTCGTTTGCGGTCTGGCATTGTCATTTTGGAAGATGACTTAACTTGCCATTTTATGCAAAGACACTGTGGTCCCAAAAAGCATGCAATATGGTTCCTCAGCTCATTTTTACTAATTTATAGTTTGCTGTGTACACTGTGATTCAATGCAGATTTGGTGTGTATAGCTCTCGGATGTGTTCTTGGGTTGTACCATGTATTGTTCGGCATGTCTGACGTTTTGCTTCTAGGATCTTATTCAGGAAATGAATTGAGCAGCTCACTGCCTCCCTCAACATCGGATATATTGTGCTGTAACAACACGCAGTAAAACCAGAAAACACATTGGAGAGCTGTACAGCACAATAGTGAACCTTCTTGGTCAGTGTGTGTGTGTCCATGTGTGTGGTGGGAGTGTGATACAATACGACCCTTTCCTCCTTGCCGCTAATCCACCACCCTTCCCCCCCCCCCCCTTCAGAGCAATGCGCTTTCTTGTCGCCAAGAAGAAGTTCAAGGAGACGCTGCGACCATATGACGTGAAGGACGTCATCGAGCAGTACTCGGCCGGACACCTTGACATGCTCAGCCGCATCAAAAGCCTGCAGGGAAGGTTCGCCACCGCCCTCCCAATACAACCAGCGCTGGTCTGGGAGGAACAGGAGGAGCAGGGAGAGTCGGGGACATAGCCACTGTGAGGGTTTCGTCGGTGATCAGACACTCCCAATAATTTAAAGATATTGCCGAGAGAGGCTACGCACATTTTTCGACGAAAAAATCGCGGTCTTTATGAGTCTTTCGTTGATCACCTTCGAATACGCAGTTACGCAATTACCAGTAGACTCGTTACCGGTTGAGTCGCCAGCGGTTGAGTAGAATCCTGTCTGCAATCCAACAAATAATCACTGGGGACCATTTTCTAATCAGACACCCCCAACTTCCATAGTGTGGGAGGAAGTAAAGCGTCATTGATGAGTGTAAATGCAGTGGAGAGTGGCTTCAGCAGACCGTCCTTTACTCGGTATGTGAACTGCCCAGTGAGTGCGTAAGCATGATCACCGTTGAGCCAGCTTGCATGGGAGTGCCTGTCGAGGCTCTTGCTAGTCCATTAAGAAACAACAATGAACCACAGGTGTCCAGTGCTTCACCTCCACCAGCCAAAATACAATCAATGAATTGAGAAAATGTAGAGTCATTATTATACTCCAGTGTCAGCAGAAGGTAGTTCAGCAGAGGGTAGTACAGCATAATGCATATACTCTACACTGTACTTTAATGCTCCCAACATTTAAGTTCCCTCATGTCTTCACTAATCTACACTGACCCAGGAAGGTGAGGTATGGTCACATTAATCGTATGGAATGGGGTGGTGTTCGTTTTTGCAGTGAAATGACAAAAGGGCCGTACCATGCACATCCCATTACGTTTTTTTACATGGTGAGTAAGAGCCTACTGTGGCTGTAGGGGTCACGAGGGGCCATTAGATACCACAAATATCCGAACGGAAAAACATTATGCGCACGATCTGATGCAAGTGTCACACAAGCTTAAGTACAGGAATGAATCAATTCATCGTTAACACCCTTAATGAACAGAGTACGGTATAGAAAACTGGGATTGGAAAACATCAGAATGTAACCGTATCACAGGACTGTGAGGCATGACATATGGTCCCAGGAGCTGTGCCTACAGTGTGGTTGATAGTAAGGCACTGTGGCAGCCAAGGAATGGAAATCATCCACGAGGACGTCCTCCAAATGGAGCGATCCAAATTGGCCCGATGTGCAGGGGCCGAGTGGATTACTACATTGTAGGATTGTGAGAGGTGGCAGTAGCTTGGAGAGGCCTTCAACCAGCGGTATTTTGACCATGGCTGATGACAATGCAGTGTGCACAACAGGCAGTGTGTTAAGGACAGGTGGAGTGCACAGTTAATACATTCGTACAAGGCATGTTTGCAGAAAGTATCACAGTGAACAAGAACAAAGTAGATCAGAAATAATCAAGGGGGCACATGCATGAAAGAATTACAGATGAGGAGATAAAATTATGAACTCTAAATGATAAAATATATCATTGGTGGGATGGCAAGAGATTGCAGCTTCAAACAACCAGGGCCTCTGCCTCAAACGGCCTTCATCCAGCTCTCAGTCGAATAACGGCTGACGAGGGTGAATAGGCAAATTTGATTAAAATAAATATTCAAGCTAAAGCAAATACTGATACATATGTTCAGTTTCCGGAAGTGGATTGATCATGGCCAACAACAAGAGTAGCAGCCTCAAATGGATGCTTTGATAAGTATGCGTCGGCGCGTACCGCTCCGAGGACTAATCGGGAGCTGTCCGCCTCTCACGTGCTCAAGGGTGGAGCAGATTGTGGGCATGCGTGGGCAGAGCCAAGGGGAGAAGCGGCCCTGGAAGGAGAAGGGGTCCAGCCTGGATGGAGGGGAGCCGCCTGACGACATCAGTCTCCTTGGCCGCGTGGCACGTGTCGAGAAGCAGGTGCGGGCCGAGAGGTGAACGTTGTTATCGATTAACATTTCTAACGAGTCCATTACTCAATTATCCATTGCACTTTTCAGTGACAACAGTGTCAGCCATTTTTAAAGCTACCGAATGTCCTGTTTTGGCCAAAACATTCCGAGCCTCAAAAAGGTTGCCCAAGTGTCCTGAAGCTTTTGAGAAGATTGGGATCTTGTCCCAGTTAAAATGTTCTGGTGTCCCAAGCTCAATAAAAGATGCAGCCAAAATGCAGGGCTACCTGAGGAGTGGGCAGGGTCGGTCGATAATTTCATGGGGCCAATATAAAAACAATTGATGCCATACACTATGTACAAACTGATGGTGCTGCTTCAGCTGCTGCTGAGTGGGCATGGCTATAAACATGCGGTGAATTTGATGGATAAACGGTGCCACAAGGTCACAATGCAGCCAAGTTGAGCCTTCCAAAAATTGTGAAAACTTAAAAAGCTACGATATTTTTCCCCGTTGTAAGCAGCGCAAAGGAAACATTGAATGCTTTTGGCCCACTCTCCAAAATAATACCATCTATATTTTTCAACATTTAACTTCTCAAATGTGAATCGTTGAATTTAATTATTCAGTTTAACACGTAGGCTTTCGCGACCAATATTATCCATAAGAGGTTTTTGGGTTATATCGCGTAAATATAATTGTGTCGTTATATCCACCACCACCTGACAGTCAACTAGTAAGGTTTGTAACGTAAACAAAACATGCCAATTCGTTACTAGATCAGAACATCGATGTGTTGGAGAGTAAACCCACAACATTTACCATTTGAGTACGACGTTTTGCCGGTAATTACAAGCAGCCTCATCAGGCGACAGCCAGAGTTGTGGAGAAATCTTTGGGTTAAATAACTGCAAGATTTTTAATTATTTCATTATTTAGCCTGTTGATGCTTAAAACCTTCAGGATACTGCCATAAATAATGATACAGGAAAACCTCACCGAACGCGGTTTTACCGAACGCGTGGTTAAGCTTTGCACGGTTTACTTGATGAAGTGCTTTCCGGAACACGTGGGTGAGGTTTCGGCTATACGTGGTTTGACGTTGCTAAGATAGTTGTTAGATAGGCTTGCAAGAGGTGAGAGTGCTGCATCCGTTGGAAGGTACTATGGTGTGGTTGAATCGACTGTGAGAAAGATGTATTTGCCATGGATGTTTTTTTTTGTGGTGACGTAACAAATACTGTACTCAACACGCTCACGCACAACGAAGATGTTCACACACTGCCGCATGCATCTAGTCGTCCACTCATCTAGGACGTCAGTCATACGGACGCCTAGATGGCCTATCATATACGTTCAAGTGATATTGTGGGCGTTGGGTGCGGGGGCCGTGGTGCGGGAAAAGTAATGGAGAGGGGAGATTGTGTTTAGCTGAAATTGAAAGAGTGTACACACACACACATAAGAAATAGAAAGTCATATCAGCATCCTTTACTGCAAAAACAAGAGCAGAAACCACGTATAAATTTAGAAACAAAGAGGGAAGGGGTGATCATTTTTGACCCAGAAATGCAACCCTTTATTTCCCATCAGGTCTATTGTTTTGTCGAACGTTGTTTTTTTCCCCAACATGGCATTTTCCCCCTTCATGCAGCAAAGTTTTCCTGTAATTCAAATTATGTCATCCATTCATTCATGGAAGTGACGTCAAGTAACATCAAGTGTAAAAAACGTGTTATCATGAGCGTCTTGCATTGGGATGTTTGGCAAGTAATTTTGTTTTCATCCTCAAAAATTATTATCTGTGTATTAAATAAAAATAAGCTATGAAAACCTACGCCACGCATGTTAACTGGTTTTGTATCATTGATTTGTTTCCATGAATTTCTGAGCACACGTGCCCAAACATAAAACATCCTGAAAAAAATTGTTTCATTAAATACAATATTGCTTAACGTCCCAGATAAAAACCTCTGCTGGTGGAATCTTTGGAAACAAACTAAGTGATCATTGCATAGTTATAAGCATAGGTGTTACCCTATCTGACAATAACACATTCCTGCGGAGGGGACTGGTAGGAACGTTAGTTGCTCGGTCAGTGGCCAGGGTCAACGGTGGCGTGGTTTATTCCGCAAATATGCCCGACTGTGAGGGCGGGCACAAGCCGGCGTGAGTAGGTTAAACGTTGAGTTTTATAAGGGCACCACGGGGTGACCAGCCCCTCCCCACCCAGCCCCACCCCACCAGCCCCACCCCTCCCACCCCCCACCCAGCCCCACCCCTCCCACCCTCCACCCAGCCCCACCCTCCCCACCCAGCCCCTCCCCACCCTCCCCTCTCCACCCAGCCCCTCCCTACCCTCCCCTCTCCACCCAGCCCCACCCCTCCCATTTTTATTTTACATCCGAATGTCCGGATACACGTGGACAGACATCCACAGACGTACACAATTAATCCCCTGCCTCCTGTGAGAATTAATCCCGGTTGGGCTTCCAGTCCATATAAGGGCACTACGGGGTGACCAGCCCCTCCCCACCCAGCCCCACCCCACCCACCCCCACCTCTCCCACCCCCCACCCCGCCCCACCCTCCCCACCCAGCCCCTCCCCTCCCTCCCCTCCCCACCCAGCCCCTCCCCACCCAGCCCCTCCCTACCCTCCCCTCTCCACCCAGCCCCACCCCTCCCACGTGGACAGACATCCACAGACATACACAATTAATCCCCTGCCTCCTGTGAATTAATCCTGGTTGGGCTTCCAGTCCACTACGTTTCATACCAGTAAAACAGCTGTATTGAGATGTTAAAACACCAAACAGAAACCTTTTGCAAGGAATCGTGTCTGCAGTAACCACACATACTTGTCGTGGACATGCAAACAAAAAAACATTCTCTGGTAGTATATGCATTGTCTTTTATGTATATACTACCAGAGCATGTTTTGAGACTAGGCTCTAAAGAAAGTTGTCTTTGGTGTGGACCAATCAGTTTCAAAGACAATGCATATACTTCCAAAGCATGTTTTTTTTTCATGTTCACCACAAGTATATGTGGTTAATGCCGACATGATTGCTTGCAAAAGGTTTCTGTTTGGTGTTTTAACGTCTCAACACAACTGTTTTATTGCCAGTAAGGGTTAAAAGATTATTATATTTTGATTCTGGCATTGCATAGTTGTTTGGATCAGATCAAGCAAGTCCAAAAAACCCCAGCAAAATAAAGATATATTTCACTCAATCTCCTGGTCTGCACAGATGGGTTCATTAACTGTTTGACTATAATGACGTCTAGCCACCCCATAACCCTGTGGTTATGGGAGTTCCATTCAGATCTACATGATCCACCAACCCTTACTTCCAAAGTTCTGGATCACAGGCATGGACCACCACACCATTCTTCAGATGACTACAAACGGCACCTATTGCATCCAATGCACCAGGCTACGAAGAGACACCCTTTTCTATGGTTACATTGCAGGTGCAAGTGATTGAGGACAAGTTGGATGCGATCATTGAGCTGCACCGCCAGGCAAGGTTACGGGCGGAGGGCTACGCTCAAAAGGAGCCCACTTCCAGGGCACCTACACCAGGTGACACGAAGTCTTCGGTCTTCACTGCCAGTCCCTCTGGAGACCCGGGCACAGACAAGGCAGATGAAGCGGTGACCGCACGTGTGAGGGTGTCATTTACAGGGAATGTGGGCACCGTCGTGCGCACGTCGCCTCCAACCGCTGCATCTCCTCCGGTCACGCTGGCCAATGGGCTTACAGTTCTCACGATGCTACCACACTCTCCTGGCCACCCCGTGCAAGACCTTCCTCCCCCTTACCCGACAACGGCACACTCCATGCCCGCAATTTCCAGCGCCTTGCGAGAAACGGACTCTCTGGACGATCCACCAGGTGTGTGCGTGGCTCCACAACAGGTGAGCAAGGCAGGACATGGGCAGTGGAGAGGCCACCAAGGCTCAGCACAATGTGGACCACCCACACCCCCATGCTCGCACCGTGCTGGCATGGCGCCAGGGCAGCTTGAAGTGACACTGCCGGGCTCCATGTTGAGTGAGATGGCGGGGATGGCGGTCTGTTCTGAACCATCGCTGGCTGTCGTCGCAGACAGTCGGGTACAGGTCGGCTCGGCTGCCCCGGCTTGGTCAGGACAAGTGGCTGAGCAGGGCCCAGAAGTGAGGCCCCAGGGCTGGCGGGGTGGTCACGGGGCCCAGGGGCTGCAGATGAAGCAGCGGGCATGGGGCTCTGTTGTCTCCCTCCAGGGTGGGCTCGATGGGCCAGTAATCTGTGCTCAGGGCCCACACCCGGATGGAGGTGGCGTGTGAAGGACACCCACCCATGAGCACGCTTTGGCAACGAGTGGCCACCTTAAAGCACAGGCAGGTGATATCCAAGCCAAGATAACTGTCAAATGCACCTTACTGCTCCCAGTTAAATTGGAGTGTTGAGTCATTACCATTGCCAATTGACGGGTGTTTAAGCCCTTTAATGTATGAGGATTTAATTCTGCACTTACTGGCCCATTGAAATACCGTAGTAGACCCGCAGGTATCAGAGGTGGCTGCTTTGCAGTTAGTCTTGCTGTATCAGAAACCAAAGGCAGAGATTATGCACCACAGGCTTGGGATTAAATGTTTTAAGTATAATTTAGAGTACTGACTGTGTGTCAATGTACATCACAGACCTATATCAGAAGCCAAATATGATAGTGTAATTACTTCTGCCAAAGCATGAATATCAATAGAAACAAGCATTATGAATGTACTTACCGAATAGTATCCTGCTTTTTATATATATAACCAGTGAGGTATTAAAAAAAGATGAGTTATGGATTTTAGTGAGATGTTAAACCTACAGTACCCTGACGTCTACAAACTAAGTTGCCTCTGTGGCAGTAGTTACATTGGAGAAACCAAACGACATATCTCGGACCGCGTTCGTGAACACAAAGCAGACCTAAAACACGGTAGGACCAACACCTCGGCTGTGGCAGATCACTGTTATAATTCAGTAGGCTCACATGGCATTGACTTCTCCAAGACAGAGGTTCTCTGCAAGCCATCTGGCTACCATGAGAGATTCGTTCATGAGGCTATCCACATATACAAACACAGAGACAATTTCAACCGAGAAGATGGATTCTGGCTTAGCAATCTTTGGAAGTATTTGATAAACCATTTCGGGTCTTAATTTATTGTTCACGCTTACGGTGGCTTTCAGACCGCATCCATTATTTTCGTCTCCCCCCTCCTCTTTTCCGAACATAGATGGACTCGTACATCTGAATAACTGCCAAATCGCTCTCCGTGGTGCTAACGTTAAAAAAACCCGCCACTTTTTTCCAATTTTCTTGCTGTGGTTTTCACACCTGATGATGATTGCTTGTGTTGCAGTCGAAACGTCGTGAGAATTTTACTGTTTCCCTTCTACGTGACTTTTCCGAAAGAACCAAGAATACGTTCAACTATGTTATGGCGATTACAATAGTGGGTGAATGTATGCATTACTGTCTGTTCTTCATATGTGTGGGTTTTATGTGTGCTTGTATATAATAGGGCGTGGTGGTGCAGTGGTTAGCACACATCTTGGATACCCAGTTTCAGTACCTGACATCAGTATCTAAACCTGTATTATACTTATTCTAGGTCAACTTCGGAGTAGCTGATAGGATATTGAATAATAACATTCGGAAGACAATCAAACATCGCGTGCTTTGCCAGCCAGAGTACCCATTCACTAACAACGCTTGCCCCTGTGGTCTATAACGGTAAATGGGAATCTTTGATTTTACGTGTACATGGTTAATCTGGTCAAGGCCATCAAGAGGACGGGCTTTGTATTGTGCCTTTTGGGGTTCTGGCATTTGCTGGGTGAGCATAGCCAAGTAAAGATGTTTTCAGGCACCATAGGCATTCGCTATGCACCTGTGGGTGCATCAGGAATGTTCAAGATGTGTTATATCCACGATTTAAGTTGATTTAGTTTGAATCAGGTGGGAACTCCAGACAAGGATGGTTACAATGCAAGAGTGACCTGGGTCACCAGTATTACAAAGGTAAAATAAATGAAATACAGAAATGAAGCAAATAGAAATCGGAAAAAAACAACTGTCGCACGAGACATCAACATAATAATAGTTTACATTTCTTTGTAAGGCGCCTTCTACGAATGTCTCAAGTGCGCAAACATAATGCACTGTCTTACATACTGCAAGTTGGCTTGGGTAGATTATTTTTAGACTGACCATAAATAAATTACAATTTAAGTTACAGAATACATTAAATAGATATAGGGTTATTGTAAACTGACTGATATATGTGAAATGCAATTTAAAGTGGAGTTATAAAACAAATCTACAACTTAGTGCATCATTGTGATTTGTATGGGAGGGAAACCATGGACAATTTTGAAACGATGGAATTCCAGGTATTTAGGGCATTAACAGGGAATGACTGAGAACCGTGAATTTCTTTTTTTCCCTTGTTACAATGCACTTTAGTGTTGTGCGGCATCTAAGTATTGAGATTTGGTGAACTGTAGCTATGGTGCAAGACAGACGATGACACACATTGGTGAAGACTGTCTGCGAACCAAGAATTGTGGCGGTCTGAGGACACTACATTCTACAAATGATGAAGCTACTGCCTGGCTCTGCGCAAACACACATGCCGAGTCGATAAATAAAAGGTGTATGCAATCAAGATTAACTTGGCCAATGCATCTCCCTCCAAGTTAAAATACAGTGTGGACCGGTCTTGGACTAAAGGTCACAGTAATTAGTTTGTAAGATAAAATGTCAGGCAGAATGAAAGCTAGGATTTAGCAAATGTAAAATGGTTTTAGAGATTGATTTGTATATGATGTCAGCATATTCTACGATAGGCATAAAGGTAGTAGCCATGAAATGTTTCCGTGTAAAGATGAGAAACAGGGAATTCTGGATCTTTATTCTTTATTCAAATTGCTTTGAGGTTTGAAAGCCAGATGTCAATATTATTGTATGAGGATACAATTTCAATTGAACCTTAAGAGGGTGGTTATGGACAACGTGCAATGCGTCTGTAGAGTAGAGAAGCGCCCCAGAAAATGCACACCTTTTGAGGGTTTTGCATTTAGGTCGAGTTTTAGTGCTTATTAATATTTGATAAACGAGTGTAATGTCATCTTGTATTTTTGTTGTACATTAACTAATGAAGATCCTGAGGGATAGAGAATCATGTCATCAGCATACATTGACATGTTATGAGATGACTATATTGTCTATATAGATTGAGAACAAAATAGGACCGAGCACAGAACCCCATGGAACGCCTTTGCTGAGTGGAACGAAGTCAGAGAAAAGATTGCTCAGTTTTACGCACTGTTTTCTACCATCCAAATGAATCCCTTTTCAAAGCCTACGAAGACAGCTGAGCAGATGTTCATATTGTCAAGGGTATATATCGTGTCTAAAATTGTTAGTGATGCAGTGGTAGTGCTATGCTTAGATCTAAAACCAGATTGATGTTTTGTTAATTTTCCATCACACTATGTTGCGGGTCACTTGTCTAAGGCGGTTTGTTCAGCTGGTGGCCACGGCCAGACTCTACTGTTATGAAAAGATGAACTCCATCTCTGTGCCAGCACTAGAATTCTATTATAATTTTTTTAATTGCAGGTATATGGTGCTGACATGGAGATGGGAGTTCATCTCTTCATAAAGTATGTATGTCACGAAAACTTCAAATCTAGATATGTATGTTAAACTTATTTCGCACCTTACGTAGCCGACCATGCTAACAGTGGACCCTGGCAGTGGCGTGAGTACTCAAGCCTATTTTTTTTCTGTTTTAGACAAGATACAGAGATTAGAGATGGGCGGGTAAGTGGACGATTTGTTTGAATCGCTCCCTGGATATAAATACGGACAAATGTAAATTTCCACTCACAGGGTATTGAGTTGGATGTTTTGTTAATTTTCCATCACACTGACACATTTAACGAATAGTGTACTGGGGATTCAAAGAGCATTGTCACATTTTAAAAAATATTTCAACGCCATTTGGTTCAGCAGTATTGCAGGGATTAAGCTTAGTCATAATTGTTTTTACTTCTCTTAGTTCAAATGTTTTTGAGCAGGACAAAGGGGTGGAATAATTAGGGTTGAGTGAAATTAGTTGATGAGAGATTACTTGTTGCCAAGATATTCGCTGCTTGAACAAAACGCTTGGTTGAAAGAGTCACCAGAAATGTCACTGCCATTTATAACTAGACAAGGAATAGGAGAATGAGTCGTGGCATTCTAAGGGAATTTTAATGCAGACCAAAATGTGTTGGAATTGTCTTTGGGGCTGTCTTAATCATTTAGAGTATTTAGATTTTAGGGTTTTTTTTGTTCTGTACACGTATTTATAAAGTATTCCGACATTTATTGTTCCTTCAGGATTTGATATCATTGCTATTGCCCATGCTGTGTAGCTTTATTGGAGATTACTTAGTTCAGACGTGAACCAGGGGGTTAACCTTATTTTTACTCCTTGTTTCTTGAGGGAGTGCAAATTGATCATTATCATTTAATATCCAGAAATGTATTTTAGCGAGTGGACGAGGCAGACTTCTAATGCAGCAATCCCTCGATAACCGCGGGGGTTAGGTTTCTGAAAAAGGCTGCGGTAGGCAAATTCGCGGTTGGTAGAGTATAGGGGGCCGAGGTTAACTAAGTTACCTGTTTCATCACTAAACACGAATGAGATACAGCACATTGCGTAATAAAATAATAAAACACAAATAGATATTACATTAACTTGACACACCTTTATTGTTGATGCGAGGACCACGATTATGAAAATGACAATGAAATGATGGGGGAAGGGGTGGTTAGGAGGAGAGGCTCAGCCCACCCTCCCCCTCCTCTTCCGGGTCATCAATGACGGATGAGTGGGCAGGCGAGGAGGCAGGCATGGAAACTCAACGTTTAAATCTTGACGAAAAGCTTTCGGAGGTCGTCCTCCGATCCGTCATTAACATGCTAATTTATCTTACATTAACATGCTAATTTATCTCACATCAACATAGCCACCTTCACGCGATCGTCATGGAGGTTGTCCTCCGATCTTACATTAACATGCTAATTTCTGACATTAACATAACTAGCCCCACCCACGTCGTTTATGACCCTTGGGCTACACCCATTTCAAACCTTTAAAACAGTTTGCCTCAGCAGTTTTCCTCTCTTTTGTCCTCCTGATGACGACCGCTTGTGTTGCGATCAAAACGTCGTAGTTTTTTGTTATTTTCTTTGAACCTATCTACGTGACTTTACCAAAAGACCCATAGAATATGAACTCAACATTTCAAGGCCGAGTTTTTGGCAAATTGGTATTCAGATCATAAAACCGTGTGTACGTGGATTCCACGGTTGGCAAGTCCGCGGTTGGCAATGGATTGCTGTATATTCGAATGAAGGATTGAAGACCAATCAATTACATAAATGTCATCCATAATAGAGGTTTTTTTGGGTTAGATCGCGTAAATATATAAATGTCATTAAAACCCGCCACCACCCGACACAGCCAACTAGCAAGGGTTGTCATGTAAACAGAACGTTGCCAAATCGTAACTAGTACAGCTCACCAGTGTGTTGTAGAGCCAAGCCACAACATTTACAATCTGGAGTGACCCTATAAGTTCCGAAGAGGTTTAATCCATCAATTGAAATTTTGGTCCGGAATCTTTAAAGAGAGCCATGTTTTCGTGATGGCTACAAAATTTGGGTTAAGACTAGATATATAATTTAAGTGAGTTAATTTTAGGTCTCAGATTTTTAGATACAATATGATCAGTAACCTGTTTAGCGTTTTAGAAATTGTTACAATTATTGTGCTTCATTAATTCTGGGTTCGTGCCTATTTCCATTTGGATATGCTTGGACCCTTTGATGGTTAAATAAACTAAAGACGTTTAATTCTGGAATACTACCTAGAGGACCAAGACTTAAAGGCTTGTAGAAT